AAAATATAAATGTAAGTGATGTTTATTAAATATCTCAATACACACAATAACACAATAACACAATAATACAATAATACAATATATAGTAATTTTTACATACTATGTCTTTTGAAATAATAATCCATTCGTAACCACAGCATTATATGTGGAAACAGTAGCAAGAACACCTGATAGATTATATGCATCTTGAAGTGCTTTAATTAATTGTTGAGATGTAATGTTATCACCATCTCGAGGCCTAATTATTGACTAATTATTAAAAGTATTTTAAGGCAATTAAATTGAGTAAAATTGAGTACTTACAAATATCCATGATTAGCTAAAGTATTTAACGCGGGACATGCCGACCTTTTGTCACCTGGTCCCGGTGCTTGCCATTCGTGTGCTGACATTTTAGAAGAAAAGAAATTGTAAATTTTTTTTCCTACGTTAATTTATGCCAAGTATATGTGAATTTATAGCATTTTTAAATGTTTATTGTTATTGTCACGATGCTTGATTCATGACTTTTCTATGTTTGGATTTATTTTTTGGTTATCTAAATTTAGTTAATAGAGTGTAAAATTGGTAAGCACAGAAAACTAATTGGAACCTTTCACAAAGTAAATCATTCAAACTTTATTCTTTAATTTGCATTATTAAAAAAGTTTATTTTGAGCAAGATAAGATACCGTGCGTTGAAGAAAGCTGCGTGCATATTTATTATATAAAATAATTTGAAATATAATTTGAAATTAAAATAATCATGTGTATATAGTTAATATAAATAATAGAATTTTAATAATTTTGATCTATACCGTTTAAATGATATGATATAAGTTGTGAAACTTTATAGATACACAGTACGATTCAGATTTCTTTGGGGTTGTTTATCGTTACGTTGATAATTTTCAATATGTAAACTAGTACAACGTTATAGATATGCCAAATTCATCTGTAGTGCGTGCGTAATTACGTACATAATCAAATACAACGTTATTATGAGTTACGTATTATGGTTATTATGGATTATTATGAGTTACTTGGAATTTCTCCTTCACATTGAGTCTATTACTGCTACTATTTGCTCTCAATTTTCTATGAAACTTGTGCCCAGTTTCTCCGCTTACTCCGCCCATTCCGCTCATGTGGCTTCAAATGTTTGTAATCTACTAATACTAAGAAAATTTGCAGTGTAACGAGTATGGTAATACAGATCATATTTGTCGTTCTGAAACTATCACATGCCACCTGGCTTAAATTAAACCCCTGAAATTGGATCTTTTACATATATTTCTTAATGATGTCTGACGAAATCATATAGTTTCGTCAGTCATCTATAACTA